CGAGCACCATTGTCCCAGAGGCAGCGCGTTTCCCTTCGAAAACGATGGCAACCCTGCTCAAAGGCGCCCACAGCGGTCGACGAGCGCTGGTGCACCGAAGCGTCCTCTCGCCGGCTTTGYCGAGGGGAGCAAAGCGAACCCTGCCAACGACACCACCGGTGGTGCATGCCCCGGTCTCCCGTTCGGTTCCCCGCCACCGATCCCTGCACTGCCCCCRTGGGAGCCGAGCGGACCGCGGGAGAAACCCGGCATCGCACCTCTTGCTGCGCARCGAGCAYTTCTACTCGACCACCCGGACCCTGCGACGACCGCCGGGGGACAAGAGCAATCTCCCTTCGAAGCCGTCGTCTCCCTCGTCCTCGTCCTCGWCGTTCCTGGACCGGGTCAGGAACACGGCGGCATCGGCCCTCGAGTCTTCCAGAGCCGCCGCCGAACACACCACAAAAACCGTCGCAACCAGGGCCTCTTCTGCGGTGCGGGAAAGCGCCAAGAAAGCCACCGAGAAAGCGCAGAGGGCGGCCTCCGAGACCCTCGAGGGCACACAGCGGGCGGCCAGAAAGGCCGGGGAAAAGGCCGTCAAGCGCGYCTCCGACACCGCTTCCGCCGCCAAGAGAGAGGGGTCCCGGAGGCTGTCGGAGGGCGCGGCYGGTGTTTCCAGGGCGGCCGGAGAAGCCATTTCCTCGCGGATGGGAAGGGCCGGGCAGAAACTCTCCGAGGGCGCCTCGGGGCTGAGGAACTCGACGGGCGAGACCATCGCCAGGTCCACGAGGGCAATCGGCAGCGGCGTCGAGGAACAGAGGCGCGCCGCYGCCGCAAAAGCCGAGGAGATCTCGGAATCCACGAAACAGCTCAAGGAAAGCGTGGCGGTCACCGGGAAAAAGGCCCTGAGCTGGTTCTGGTGGTGGTCTCTGGCGGCCGTCTTTGTGTACGGAGTGGCGTCCACGCTCCCCATGGCCATCATCAAGTACACGATGGAAGAAAAACGAAAGAAGTGGAGAGAGAGGCCATCGGAGACGAACGACGAAGGAGGGGAAGGCAGCGGCCAGGATGCGCATCGCACGGATCGATCCCAGCACATCCAGGAAGAACCATCGATAAACGCGGTCGGTTGGGACACATTCTTTGGCGCGTCCGACCAGAGCGAGAGCAAGAAAGATTGAGCRGAAACGAAATAAAAGTAGCGAATTCTCTTAGAATATCAACTACTGTGGCTTCTAGATTTTGACAAGGACKCCAAATAATTTGTGTCGAGTACATGGCAGTGAGAAAGACAGATGATGTTGRCTCTTGTCAATTCGTTCTTTTTATTTTCGAAAATAGTTATCTGGRTTCGTCAAAAGATTTTCCAGAAGCTGATTCAAAYAGTTGGTTGGCGGATGTTGCGCGCAGGATTGTGGTCTTTCGTTGGTGATCATACTGTTTATTGCGGCGTTGTTGTGGTTGCTGCGACCATCGTTGTAGTACGAGTGATCGCCAGAGTAMMAAAGGCCATTGCTTGAATTGCCATGGTTGAAATGGACGAGACCCGGTTCCGTGCCGTTTCGATTGTGCTCGTTTCGTTGCAACCAATACTTTTCGTCCTGTGATGTGTAGGTTGCTTCTTGCTGTTGCAGCGYATTCTCGTTCATCCCTTCTTTCGTCCACATCAATCTTTGGTCCTCCCCGACAGAGYTTCCAAGGGATCTCCCATCCGTCGATCTCCAATCTCTTTCGGTTGCTCTMAAACCTCTTTCGGCAATTTCATTGCAAGTATCTGTGCACATTGAATGGAAGGAGCAGGAAGAGGGGTTGTTGACATCATGATTGACCTGAGAAACGCATCCCCACGCCTTTCGRTTCTCTTCTTTTTGGGGGAAGAGTATTCTTTCGTCCTCTACTCGAAAAGTTGCTTCTTCGATTTGATTCCGTTTGTGATCATTCCATGCCCGGTTTCCTATTTCTCGGGACTCGTGTTTTATCAAATGGTCCACAATTTCAAAGACAACCATAATCAAGCCTCGCGTAGAATCGCGGCAAATGGTCAAGAGTTTGGTGCACACCATATCAGACAATGAACGGTTTTGGATCAACGATATTATTCTTTCATGCCACTCCTCGCCGTACTTCTTTGCCAGCTGGGAATTGCACGTTTCGAGGAGCAAACAATCCAAGATAAAGTGGTGCAGACCTTTCAGAKYATTTGCAGTCGCGCAAGATGGATCGCGTACAAACGGAAGTAGCTTTGCCAAGAAGGTGAGTTCCGGCTGGAACTTAGCACGGATGCCAGCACGAAAGGTGATAATGTGTTCCAGTGCTTCGGCTCGGGCCGTTCCAAACCGGGACGAGAAGAAAGAAAGAAGGTGGCCGAGCGCCGGCATAGAAAGCCCAACACGACGAAACTGAGCTTCCAAACAAATACTTGTTGCAAATTTGCTAGGGCCATATGGCGTAATGTGCATCGAATCGTTCCTTTGATGGTGAACGATTGGGGTCTGTGTGGAGCAGCTGTTCATATCTTTCTTCAGGGATTCTCCGTTCAATGTTTCTCGTTGAAGACCTACGTGTAGTGTTGGAGATCTGGGTAGATTCRTTTCACCAATACGGCGACCTGAGTCAAAAAGATTGTGAGGAAGAGACAACKCCATTCTATTGGTTTTTGCAGATTGCTCGTGCGCTCCTTCAAACATCATATGGTTCATCGCATTTAAACGCTCGTGTTGGAACATCGTTTCGAAGTTTCTCACAAGATGCAATGGTTCGATACTTCTATTTTTTATCATATCAGAAGAGGTATCGTGACATACCTTATTACTACTTGACCGCAGTCGTCGTCTTGTCGCAGATGGAACATTTTTCTCATCCTTCGATCCTTCTTTGACACCTCTGGCATCACTTCTTCGAGGACAGCTTGATGTGGATCTTCCGTATTCTTCGGGAACAACGTTTGTACTTTCTTCGATGGAATCGTGGTTGCGTCGAGCCTTGTTCACTAAGACTTTATGCCTTTCTCTACGCGTAGGTGGGCGAATCTTTTGCGCAGCTTTCCTTTTCTTGGCTCGCCGTCTTCCTCCAGACGAAGAACTGGACCTACTCCTCTTCTTAGAATCACTCGATTGTGTGTCAATCTCAGAATCCTTTCTCGGTACTGTTGTGTYCCTGGCAATTCCATTCGTGTGCTGATTGAAGGTAGTCGTGGGGCGAGATATCGCAGTATCACTATCGACAGGTGTTATAATTCCAGTTCCAACTGCAAGATTGAGGTCTGTGTTTTCTTTTTCAGGAGTTATGGAATGTGATGGTGGCGGAGTGATTCGGACGTACTCTTCCGGCGCTTTTTTCTTTGTTTTCTTCGTTTTGTCTTCTACTGCTTTCGCAATTCTGGAATTGTCATCACTATGCGCAAATTGATGGTTTTCGTGAGACGTATTTGTTTCTTTGTTTGATCTTGGAGGTATGGAAAAGTTATGATTTCTCGGATTATCGTATTGTAATTCATTCTTATCGTCTCGAGTTGTCTTGGCCGATGRCTTTTTAATTCGGTTTTCAGAACTCTTTGATGCGACCTTCGTCGGGGTTGACTTATCTCGTTTGAGCTTAGCGTCCTGAGTAGTCTTGGTCAACGGTTTTTTATTTTGGTTTTCAGAACTCTTTGATGCGGCCTTCGTCCGGTTTGACTTCTCTCG